TAAAAATACATAATAATTTATTTTAAAATTATCTAAAATTTATTATTTTTTATGTGTCGTGATTTAATTTTAAAAAAACTTACCTCCTTCCCTGACAAAACTAGAGTCATAAATGAATTTCATCGGTAGGTAAGAAGTTCTCCATGAAAGCCATACTACAGTCTATTTCTTCCTATGCTATGTCATGTTTCCTTTTTCCCAAGGGACTACGCCAAGAAACAAATATGATAATGGCAACATACTGGTGGAGTCACAATCGGAGGAACAAGGGCATACACTGGATGGCTTGGAACAAACTCCGAAGAACAAAGAAAGGAGGACTGGGGTTTCGAGAAATGGAAGGTTTTAACCTTGCTCTCTTGGCAAAGCCAGGATAGAGACTTCTACAAGACAAACGTCTTTGCTGCATGGGGCTCTTAAGGCAAAGTACTTTCCTAACAGCTTTTTCCTTGATGCTGAAAAGGGAAAAAGTTCATCGTACGCTTGGAAAAGCATATGCAAAGGGAGGTAGATTTTAAAGCTAGGAATTAGGTGGCGAGTGGGTAATGGACAGAGAATTAGGATATGGCAAGATCAATGGATACCAGGTGCAAAAAAATTTTGTTCCCATACCAGTTGGGGACCCAGTTTAATAACCACCACGGTCAGGGACCTTAAAAACATGTGGATATACAAATGGGATGGGGAGAAGCTAGTAAGTTTATTCATAACATCCACGGTTAGAGACATTATGGCAATATTATTAAGTGGAGTGAAAAGACAAGACACCCAGGTCTCACATTACAATAAAGATGGCATATATAGTGTAAGAAATGGATACCATCTCCAGAGAATGCATGCACAGGAGCTGCTGGGTACCTAAGAAGAAAGTTAGAATGGAATAGGAAAAAGGGAAAAGGAGATGTGGCATAAGGTGTGGCAGGTAAACCTCCCAAGCAAAATTTTGGTTGGAGGCTTTACAATGAAATCCTCCCTGTCTACAAATACCTCCAAAACAGAAAGATACTAACACAGGCAATGTGCCAGAGATGCAACACAGGGGAGGAAACTGTATTCCACGCGGCAGTTGAATACCCGACAGTAGTAGAAGAAATCTGGGAGGTAGTGGGATTGACAGATCATTCTATGGAACTCCAAGAACAACAGATCGGACTATGGCTAAGAAGACTAACCAATAGCTTCAAAGAGGATAAGCTGGAAATAGCTCTCATGGTCTCCTAGTCTACCTGGATGAGTAGAAATGACAAGGTGAAAAACCAGGTGGACAGCAACAGTCAACACACGGCACGCTATGCTATCCAATGCAAGGAGGAGTTTAAAAGTGTACAGGAACGACCAGTTTGCTTGATACCTAAATCCCCAGGGCATTGGAAAGAACGAAAGGAAAGTATGATTAAATTTAATTTTAATGGGGCCCTGGACGTACAGAAAGGACTAGGAGGCGTGGGAGTTGTAGCCCGTGTGTCAGAAGGAGGCGTCGTTGGAGCCCTGTGCAAACAGTTTCCAAGCATCTGTGAGCTTGGGATAATTGAAGCACTGCCAAAGGTGGAAGCAGTAAAGCTGGCAGCAGGAATGGGGTGTCGTCAGATCGACGTGGAGGTTGACGCAAAGGAAATTATCAACCAAGTAAAGAGGAAAGGTAGCAGGAACATGTGCTATGTTGGTACCCTCGTAGAGGAGGTAGAGAGTAGATTGCAGAGGTTCACGTCATGGAAAAGCATGTATGTCAACAAAGCGGGAAACAGGGGGCCCACTGCATGGCAAAATTAGCTTTGAGGGGAAAGGAAACGAGAATATGGTTTGAGGATTTCCCAAATATTTTAATTTTTGCTTGTGAATAAGACAGAATTGGATTTGAGTAATGAAGTCCAATTTTATTTAAAAAAAGAAAAATCCCAGTTGGCTTGATATTGTAAATATGTTCGCTTGGGTTCTCTCCCTTTGTTTTTTTAATTATTTTATTATCTGTAGTCTATAACTCTGAAGTTGTCATTATTTGCAGGTTATAAATGCGTGGCTGTAGGCACGGAAGCACTTAAGAAAATTTGGCTATGGCTTTGTAAATACTTTCCAACCCACTTGAATGAACAAGTATATAGCTTTAATAGACCAACCTAGAAATCAAGTTAATATAAGTTTTAAATCTTAGATTACATTCAAAATTATTTTTATTTATCTAAAAATTTTAATTGTCCTAATATATTTGAAGACATTATTTACTTATTTAAAATATTTAATTGTTTTAATATATTTTAAGATAAATTTATTGTAAATGATGGCATAATAAATACATTTTTTAATATATTAATGTTCTTTTAAATGAAAATTTTCTTTTCATCAGCTATGAAATTTTAATCAATTTTAATTTTATTAATAATAAATATTTAAATTGTTAATTTTTTGATAATTTATTTTTTATTAAAAAAAAATTCACATGAATGTATCTCAATTATATTTTTTGCAACAGTAATACGGGTTATTAAACGAGATGAATGTTGTTGTATAATGACTTTTGACTATAATATTAGTTGTTTTAACGTTAAAAAGTTGTTATTAAAATTTGGTTTAATATTTGTAAGGACACATATATTGTTACGGTAAGATTATATGCAATAACGATGCTGGTTATTAAATTTCCTTAAATTGTTGTAAAAAAAGTTAGAAACAACAAATTTGTGGTTTTGAAAAATCTTTTGGCAACGATTATTATTGTTTTTAAATTAACTATTGTAATTACAAAATAATTGTTACTAAAGTGATTTGTAACAAAAAAATATTGCATTGTAAAAAAAAAAAAAAAACCAAAATAACGTTGTTTTATAAAAGTTTTGGTAACAAAAAATGTGGTTGTTAAAACAATTTTGGGTTAAATAAAAAAATAATTTTTATACTAACAATTTTTATCAATTTATTATATAAAAAAAATAAAATTATCAGTTTAATATTTTAATTTTCATTGATCATCTATTTGGGTACTTGAGATTATTATCGTCAGTCAACTTACTGATAAGGCATAAATATCAAAAGTTCAATTAACATCATCACATTATCAATTATCACGTCGATATTAAAATTTTTTTTAAAAAGTTAAAAATAAAAAAATCTATTTTTTTTTTTGAAAAATCTAAAATTTTTAAAAAAATTGTCAAAAAAACCTATAAACCTCTTAAAATTTTTCATTTTTTATCTTTCAATTTTTATTTTTTTTATATATTTTTGAAATTTTTAGATTTTTTTGGATTTTTTATTATATTTTTAAAATGTTTTATTTTTCAAAAATTTTTATAATTTTTAAATTTTTTAAAAATTTTCAGATTTTTGAAATTTTTTTTTCAAAATTTTTTAAAAATGTTCATATTTTTTTCAAAAGATTTTAGATTTTTTATTTTAAAAAAATTTTAGATTTTTTAATTTTGAGTTCTTTTTAAGTTTTTGTGATTTTTTTAAAAATTTTGAAAAAATTTTATTTTGTTAAAATTGTCATTTCTTTAGATTTCTTTAGATTTTTGTTAATTTTTTTGAATTTTCATAGTTTTTTTATTTTTATAATTCTAAAAAAATTCAGATTTTATAATTTTTTAAAATATTTTGTCATTTCTTAAAACTTTTTAAAATTTTCTTGAAATTTTTTTTATTGTTGATATGACTATTGATGATGTGATATTGGTTGAAATTTTTGACACGTGTTAGTAAGTTAATTAACTGTGTTAGTTCAAAGTAGCAAAATTGATGAGGAATTATAATTTTATTTTTTAAAATACTTAATTGACAAAAATATATATAATATAATAGCCAATTTTATATTTAACACAAAAACATTTTGATAATTATATTAAATTATCCTTTAAACATAATTTATTTACCAATGAAAAAAAAATCATTGTAAAAAATATTTTATAAAATAACCTTTCAGTTAATGAAAAAATTAGTACATATATTTTTAAGAATAGAGGTAATTATATTCATAAAACTCAAATTTAACCCGATCCGAGGAATTTTTTTTTATTTTTTCATACTTGAATCTGACTTCATCTAATATTATATGAATCATATCCAATTTGAATCGATTTAAAATTAATAAAATATTATTTTTTAATATAAATATAAAATTAAATATATATAATAAATATTTAAATAATTAATTAAAAAATAAAATTATATATATCAAATCGGATTTACTTAAAATTTGATTTTGATTTTTTTTAATATTATTCGACTCAATCTGACTTGACGTGAAACTCGATTTAAAAAAAAAAAATCAACCATACAAAATTAGATGAAATCAAAACCTGCTGAAGGTGGATTGGACTGCTAACCCTCGATAATATCAACTTGACAACAATTTTTTTTACCTTTGCCGAAAAAGTTTAACAATGATAAATCATTATTTTACATCGACATTAAGTGTCAGTATATAACTTTTTCTAACAGTCTAGGTGATACGCTCCTTGCATTTTGAAGAGTTGTTGAGAAAAAAAAAATTAAGGAATCAGGTTTCAAGTAACGAAGTTGCCAGGCCATATATAAATAGTTGCATAAATTAAATTAAAGAGAAAGAGAAAGAAAGCCATTCAGTACCGAGTCAATGAAGTTCATTAATATATTTATAAAGGATTACCTAAAATTATTTTTAATATGGAATCTTGATCTCTTAAAAAAACGTCTAATTAAATATATAAATAATACCCAAGGATATACCTCATCTTAAATCAAATAATTGTTTTTATGTATTTTTTTTAAAATATTGAAGTACTCCCATGAATTAACTTTGGCTAATTATTAGTATTATTTGGTTAAGAATGAAATCTAAGAATGAAAATTGATAAGATATGACACACCTTAGAAAAACTATCAAGAAAATTTTTATATCTCAAAGGTAAAATTTATTCTAAACCCTTCTTTAGAATTCAAAATTTGATGAACAATTTCGTTATATAGTTTAAGTTACATAAAAAAAAAAATTCTATCTTCTATCCCATATTTTATAAATTATATAGAATTCATACTATTGTAAAACTATAAGTCATAGACTTATAAGTCACAGGATTCATACTATAATTCATATTGTTTTCATTCATACAACAATTCTTGCTATCGTTTTTGTCATTGACACAATAAAATTATAAGTCATTGATAATAATTCTATATATTATAACAACATATTAGTTAATTATAAGTCATTTATATTTTTCTAAAATTTGTTATTTTTATAATTTTATAAAGGTATTTATTTATGAGGTTAATATTTGATATATTATTAGTGAAAATTTTTAAATCCACAGAATTAAAAAATTGATACGTGTCTTACTTTTCATATGTTAATCACTTTTAATACTTTTGAATTAATATTTTTACATATTGATGATATAAATATAGATAAGTATATAACATTTCTAGAAATATGTAAAAGCAATCAAAGCATATAAATTTCTTGTATAGTATTTCAATTAATAATTCAGCAAAAGAAGAAAAATATCTCACATTTCCACGCCTTGGATTTGCTGGAACAATTGCATTGTGTGTGGAGACCGGAGGGTTTACCGGACGAGGTCGAGATGTACTGGCCTGCATCAAGTCAAGCAGCTAGTGCTTGTTATTCCTTATTTAAATGTAGAAACTAGGAAGCATTGGGTGTTTCCCTTTTTTTCTGTTGGAATTCTATGACATTTTCCAATTTGGGATCTGATGCAATGTTGATAGTTTGATTGGGTAAAATAAAACGCAAGGAAACTTTCAAAGCCATCATAAATTAAAACTGGTATATACATGGATGATTTCAAACCATCATACCATTTTTTTATTCTCTAAAGTCGGACTCTAGTTATGAAAGATTTTTGAAGTGTGATTATACTTTAGTAATTTAGTATATATGTTTTTGATAGTGATAAGGGGTTATCCAATTCAATAACATGAGAATTTATTGTGGACTATATAAAGAATTATTTATGTATTAAGTGAAAGTTTCACTAAATATGCTATATACTTCTTATAAAAAAGAAATAAAATGTTATTCTATATGGTGCTATGTATGAAAGTCTGCTTAATTTATATTTATAATAATTTTTTTAAAAAATTCTATATTTATTGATAAAGACATACATACCTTGAGAAAAGGAAAATAAAGTATGTGTTTCATACCACATATGTATTGTATGACCAATAAAGATAACAGAAGAATAGATCTCTACTTCTTATATGAGACCTTTGAGATAAATGGATCTCATATATAGTACCTTTTCGATTATTTCTTGAAGTTTTAGTTCAATGCTAGTTATCTTGGAATGTTGCCAATGGTCATTGATGATTTGATCTAATGGGACATATCTAGATAGTAGTTTAATTGAAAAAGAGAGATTTTAAAATAAGAGAAAATTATTCTAGTGTCACATTTGATTGTATTCACAGGTCGACTTATTATGTTTGAGATATTGAACATAATTGTGAATATACAAGTATATCATGCGATATGATAAAAAAAAGATAATAAAAGACCTAAAATGTGATTAAAGGGATTTAAGGTGCTGCATACTTATTCTACTTGTACTTGAAAGTTACTATACATAACTAATACTTGTATAAATGACTAGATATGATTTTGAGATGCTATATGCACCTAACAGCTGTATAGCAATAAAGATTTCAAAGTATATTGGTTGCAAGACTTATTTTCAAGTATGAACCCATTGCAAATAGTAGAGAAAACATTCTCTTGATCATGAAAGTTTGCTACCCATTTTGTTTGAGTGGAGAGGTAGGAAATATCCGTCCACAATGGGTGGATAAGTTCCTATACCAATTAACTGCCATGGGTAGTTGATTAGAATTGATTTAAATTTCAAACCAAATAAAAATTAGAGATGTTAATGGGTAGGGAATGAGATGGAAAGAGCATTTCTTATCGATATTCTTGATTTTTTATATTATACACATCTCATACCAATATTCAATAAATATTTCAAATTTATCCACATTCCCATCTCCGAAGGTATTTAATGGGTATAAGTAATTCATATACTCATAGCTTTATAAAAAAATAAATTTTTTTATTTTTTTTATTTTTTATCTTGCACATTTGCCTAATTTTTTGTAAATATATATTTTTCAAATACAAATGTATTAGTTTTAATTAATCTAAAATAAAAGTTATATAATTAAATAAAAATTTAATTTCTTAAATATATATATAGGGTAAAGATAAGTGATGAGTGTCATATTATACTCATATTTGATAAAAAAATTTAAAACTATACCCATCGCTATCTACATCCCCAAAATTTAATACCCATCCCTATCTCAATTTGAGTAAAAAAAAGTCTCTCATTGGATTTAGATAAGATTGACATCCTTATAATAAAACCAAATGGCCTTCATTTTACTTCTTTTATGAAAATGGCAGCTGGCCAAATGATGAATGAAAAAGTTCATCCAAAATGAGACAAAAATGTGCCATGACTCTTCCTCTCTTAATGTTTAACATGGCATTAGGCCATGATGAAAAGAAAGATGAAGTAGTATTCATCCATTAAATAAGATAAGTCTCATTCATATAAGACTATGTGATGAGTCACATAGAGAACAAGAAAGGAAAAGAGAGAGATTTACAAAGAAAATGAAACTCTTCAAAGAATCACTTGTATCAGTGTTTAAAGATTTACGTTGCGGATAGTTAACAGTTTTTGAATATATGATCTTATCCTTAGTCAATGAGTCAAGTTGACATCACTTCTACAATACTTTCATTGTACTTTTGCAAATTGAATAAGATTATTTCAATATATGATCATGTTCATATTAATTATCCTTTAAACTTTATTTCATTGTAATTATATCTATTAAATCTTTAAAATGGATGAGTAATGTCCAATTGACATAATTTTTAAAGTAGTATTATCTCAAATATTTATCATTCAGCTCATCCAAATAAATCTAAGTAAGAATTTTTTATAAATTAAATTATTAAACTAAAAAAATTTTAACAAAAGATTAAATATTTTACATTGGCAAGGATTTAATTACAATAAAATAAAAATTTATATAATCAATTTCGTACAATAAAAGATAATTGATTTATTTCCATATTTTAGGAATGTTTAAGAGCTCAATTGAGTATTATCCCTTTTTTTTTTTGTTTTTATAATCTTCACTTTCTCTTAGGATATATGCATATATATATATGTATGTATAAACGATACAACTTTCGAAAAAAAGAAATTTTAACTTAACTCTTTGAATGACGCATGGTGCCCAATATTGAAGAATATTTTATTTATTATTTTCTATTATAATTTTTTAATCATTCACTTATAGTAAAATTTATGTAATGTTTTATAATTTATAAATGTGAGTTTTATATAAAAGTTTGATTGATTTCTTATAATTTTAAATTATAATTGATTAATTGTATTATAATAATTATAATACTACTAGAAAATAAGATTTTAGCAACAACTTGCAACAATTGAAAATATCATTGCAAAATCTCTTTATATTTGTAATAATTTTTCATAGTTGTTGGTTATTCGAATTTTTTATATTTTATACAAAGATAATTTTTTATTCCAAATTTCTATTAAATTGATAACGATAAAAAAATCATTACAAAATCTTATTACATTTACGACTTTTAATTATTGTTCCTAATTAACATTTTAAATTTTTATACAATGAAAAACTTGTTATGATATTCATACAATATTCATAACAACAAAAAAATGTTATTACAAAATGTTATTAAATTTGCAAGGACTGAAAATATTGTTGCAAAATCTCATTATATTTGAAACAATTTTTCATATCATTGTCTATTCGATTTTTTTCTATAATTTTATGCAATGGTAATTTTATTGTTTTGAATTCCTATAAATTAGAAATGATAAAAAAATTCTTTATGAATTCTTATTACATTTGCAGTGACTGATTATTATCATTGCCTAATTAACATTTTAAATATTTTATATAATGACAATAAAGATGTTATGATATCCTGGCCATATTTATAACAACAACAAAAAATTTCATTTAAAAATATTATTAGATCTGTAACGACTTTTTTAGTCATTATTGTATTAAAAATATTTTAAAATTTTACACAGCAATCAAAATAGTTTTTACAAAATTTCCATTATCATTTTTTAATAAAACAAAAGGTTGTCATTACAAATGCTTTTTGGATTTGAAATAATTTTTTAAAATTTTGCATAACTAAATGGTTTTAATGTTTTAAATGCAAACAAAAATAATTGTAAAAAAAATTATAGTATTTTCTTAATGATTAAAAATATCGTTAATATTAAAATGATTTAAATGAAGATAATACTAATACTAATGTTTAAAAGTGTAACTACATATCGTATGTTGGTGGCAAAAGGAAGGTGGGTTCTTTGGAATTTTGACAATGTGGTTTGCAATATCTATGCTCCATGGGATGCAGAAGCTAAAATTGTTCTCTGGGAGGAAATCTTGAAGCTCAAAATGAATACGGATGATAATTGGTGTGCGGCTGGCAACTTCAACACTGTTAGATCGGTCTTTGAAAGAATGGGATGCTTACATGAGGATTCGGGCATTTCGGAGTTTAATAATTTTATTAGCTTGGGTGAATTTGTTAATCTTTCCATCTGTGGGAAGAAGTTTACTTGGTTTGGTTGCGACAACAAAAAGAGTAGATTGGCAAGTTCTTAGTGTCTATTGAATGGGTAAAGGTGGTTACAGATCTGGGTCAAAGGGTGTTGTGACGGTCTATATCGAACGTTGTCCTATCTTATTATAAAATGAATTGGTGAACTGGTGTCCAAACCATTTAGAGTGCTGGATTGTTTGGTTCTTAAACAGAGATGTTGTTAAGGTTATTGAGAACAAATGTTTAGAGTTAACAGAAGTCAGGGGTCCAGGGTAGTGTCTAAGAATCAAAATGAGCAGGCTGAAGTCTTATCTGAAAAAGTGGAATAAAGAAACCCTTTTTTTTTTTTTAAAGAAAGAAATTAAGAAAAAAATAAATTATTCAATCTTTCAAAATAAAATATATCATATCTAATAATTTAAAATAAATTATTATAAATTATGCATTTAAAATGACTTCAACAAATGTTTATTGTAAAATTTGAACTTAAAATTATACCAATGGCAAAACATTTGGGGACTTGGATGACAAAATTGCATCAAGGAAAGAGGTGGTGGAAAAATTGGACGTCTGTGATATAATCTGTGATATATTTAGATTGGTGATCACACTGGCTATTATAGTTATCTCTAGTCAGTGTAGTTAATTGCATTCTAAGTCTGAATGAGTTTTTGCTTTTGCTGGGTATCGAGAACGTGTCTAGATCTGATCAGGAGTTGTAGTTTTGTTATTCAGCAAGCTATTTTGCTAAGAGCTATAAGTGTAATTTTCATAAATAAAAAAGTATGACTTAGCAAAAAAAAAAGGAGTAACGAAGTAGCCAGGCCATATACAAATAGTTGCATAAAGTAAATTAAAGAGAATGAAAAAGAAAGCAATTCAGTACCGGGTTGCTCAAAGCGGCCGTCCTCTTGCATTTAAGCAGCACAAAGTTATCCAAGAATTCGGTATGGCGATGTTGGTACTGGCGGTCCTTGAAGCATCTAACGCATACATCGAACGTGCAACCGTCACGGTCAAAACATTTTACACAGGTAAAGTACATTGACGTTATGAGTTTGCCGCATCCAGCGCAAAATGGCATACCACTTCTGATTATGTAGAATACAGTCATAGCATCCCAGAAGCTAAGTTTTCCCGAACGATCTTTGTTCACCCGGTTGAAGAACTCCTCATTCCTCATCCGTAGTTGGTCTATTTCCCTCATCCTCGCCATGAAATCCTCGCGTCTTACTTTGTTATATCTATTTGGTTTCATGCGGTTGAAAAATCTATCTGCCTGTTTCTTCATTTCCTGCGGAACTGAATTATAATATGATTCCGCTGCCTCTCTTAACTCATCCATTTATTTTCCGTAGAACAAACTCTTTGGTTTTTTTTTTTTTTTTTCTAATTTGGTTATGATGGAAAAAAATTCGAACCTTAGTAACATAGGAACCGATCCGTGTTATTTGTCTTCGTCAATGCTATGATATTTATTCTTTTTCGAATGGAGACAAAGAAAGCGTGGTTGAAAGCACTACGCTCCCTCCACGAAATTTCTACGTATATAAAAATTTATGAATTTATATTTGTTATATCGTTAAAATACAAATTTTATATTTTACTAATAAATTATATAATATTATTTTATTAATTAATAAATATTAATTTTTGAAATAAATATATAAAATAAATATTTTATTAATTAATAAAATATTTAATTTAATTTATTTCATTAATAAAATAATATTATTTAATTTATTAATAATATATAAAATTTATAAAATAATAATACATCAAATATAAATCTAAACTTTATATACGCTCGAAAAGTTAAAAGAATTTCATTTTTTATGTACAAGTCATATTCTTAAATTTATATACAGTAAAATTTTATTTAAAATTTTGACTTAAGGTCAACAGTGCATATGATTCTAGTTAGTGGTCTATAACATGCGAACATATGATTCTAGCTAGTGGTCTATAACATGCGTACATATGATTCTAGCTAGTGGTCTATTTACAACTAGTTTTTTATATATTTATATATAGTGAAAATCGATTGAAAATTTTGACTTAAGGTCAATATATGCGTGCATGTGATTCTTTGTGCCCTTCCAATGTGCTCGACAGCACAGAGAGAAAGGAGGCCAATAATGAAAAGCATTTTTGGATAAGGACGGTATATGTGTGCATGTGATTCTTGTCGTGTCCTTTCAATGAGCTCGACAATATTAAAGTATAAATAATATATTAATATTTATAAATTATTTAAATTTAATTAAAATAAAATTTAAATTTTAATAATATCGAGTTGAATTTTAATTCAAATAATTTAATTTATTAATCAAGTTGAGTTTGAGTATTTTTATATTCAATTCAAATAATTCAAAACATAATAAATTTTTATATTTAAATATATTTTTATTATTTTAATTAATAAAATATCTTAAACTCAAGTTTAAATTTGAGCATAAATAATTAAATTTTTATCGAATATAAAAATTAAATTTATTTTGATATATCAATCAAGCTTAATCGAATGAGCTTAAATAGTTTGATTTTTATGTCAAATTGAGTTCGAATTAAAAAAATAAAATAAGATTGAGTTTGAATCGAATTTCAAGTCTTGAATTTCGAATCAAGTTTATACTTAAACTTAATACTGTATCGATTTAAACTCAACCAATTATATCCTTAGACAACACAGAGAAAAGAGGCCAATAATCAAAAGCATTAATGAATTTGCCACATCTTCCATCGCCAAATGGCCTTTCACTTTAGATTATGGAGTATACAGTCAAAACATCCCAAGCTAAGTTTTCCCAAACCATCTTTGTTCAACAGATCGAAGAACTCCCCATACATCATCTGTAAATGATTCCTTTCTTGCATCATCGCCATGAAATTCTTACGTTTTACTTTGTCATCTCTATTTGGTTTCATGGCGTTGAAAAATCTTTCTACCATTTTCTTCATTTCCTCCAAAGCTGATTTATAATATGATTCCACTACCTTTCTTAACTCATCCATTTATTTTCATTAGAATAAATTTTTTTTTTCTAATTTGGTTATGATGGAAAAAAATTTGAGCCTTAGTTATATACGAACTGATCTGTGTTATTTGTCTTCGTCAATGCTATGATATTAATTCTTTTTGAATTAGAGCCAAATAAAAGGTGGTTGAAAGCACTATGTCTCTTCATAACATATAGATTTATAAATTTATAGCTAGATTTAACAAATGGAGTCACCACTAATATTTTTATTATGTGTGATTGGTCACTTAAAGAATCTATCATTTTAAGGAGCTCCTAAGCTTGACTAAGGGTCTTTAAAAAAATAGATTCAAGTCTACTAACTAAAACATGGTTCAAAAATTCGATTACATATGAGAAAAGTTATAGCACCCCCACATGCACATCTAAAAGATGATATCATCTTATTTTAAATTTATCATAGGATCTTAGTTTTAATGGATTTAAGTTTTTATGTTGAATATTGAAAATAATTCTTAATATTTTTCATCAATCTGGCATAATTCTTAAAAATATTTTTTTACCTCAAGAGTATTTAAGAAACTCATTTATTTTCTTGAAGAGGTTCCGTCGTTGAAAAGATTTTTTTAGTTTTATTTTTAGTTTTTATTGAAAATATATCTAATTATTCCACAATTTGGGCCAAATTAGAAATATATTTTCTTTTGAATTTCTAAATTCTCCACCATTTAGGCCTATTTAGAAATTTCATTTTTTTAAAAAATAAAATAATATGACAATTATTTTTCTTGAAATTTTATTTAAATTCTTTCACTATTTGGGACAAATTTAAAGAAATTTCTCACTTAGAGATTTCTTAGGAATTTACCATTTGAAAATTTTAAGAATATCATCATTAGATAATTATCACATATTTTTAACCAAAATTTTATTTTTTATTTTTTATTGAAAATAAATATTAGTTATTATTATTGAAACTTTATCTAAATTATTCTACTATTTGAGATAAATTTTGATAAAATTTCTCATCTAAGAATTTTATAGAAATTTACCATTTGAAATTTTTATAAATTCTATCATTTGATAATTAATACTTATTCTCAAAAAATATTTTATTTTTTATTTTTATTCTTTTTTTTTAAATTTAATCATGCAAAAATACTAAAAAAAACACATAAAAAATAAATAAATAACTAAAAAAAACTAAAAAAAATGAAGCAGCTCAACTAGAGCAGTTCGGCATGGTTTGGCTTCAGATACAGAAAGCAGTTCAAAGACTCGGCTCAAAGGTAAAAACTGGAAAAAATCATTAGAATATAGGAATTTTCAAGATTTTTTCCAAAAAAAATTCCTTTTTTTTTTTTAAAACCCTTAAAAAATCTTCAAAAAATTTTCTTAACTGCTTTCTCTGATTTTTGCCTCTCTTTCTTATTTTTTTTTGTATGTATTTGTATGATTTATGTGGATATGTATTTATAAAGTTCTGAATTTGAGAACTCCAATCGAAAAAGGAATCTCAATTTCCTTTGAATTCCAACCTTAAACCTAACTCCAACTTTATAAACCAGTTCCAACAATTTCACACAAACTCAACTACTTATTTTTTAATTTTTTGACTTTTTTATTAACAAAATTAACTCAAGTAAAACCCCAGATAATATTGGGATGCTATAACTACCCCTCTTTGCACATTTTTTGTGAAATAAGAATTGTGCAAAAACGTAGACAACCTAATCAACTTGACACATTTTTTTCGTTTTCTTTTTCTTTATTTTAAGCATTCTCACACTTCCTAAAAACTCTTATAAACAGATGCTCCACAACTTTAAAAAAAAAAAGCTTATCTAAATAGTGGCACAACAACTTTGAAAAATAAAAGGCTCATCTAAACAGAGGCATAACAACTTTGAAAAATAAAAGGCTCCTTTAAACAAAGGCACAATAACTTTGAAAAATAAAATGCTCTTTTAAACAGAGGCATAACAATTTTGAAAAATAAAAGGCTTTTCTAAGCAGAGACATAACAACTTTGAAAAATACAAAGCTTATCTAAATAAAGGCACAACAACTTTGAAAAATAAATGGCTCCTTTAAATAGAGACACAATAACTTTGAAAAATAAAAGGCTTTTTGACAATCATGTCTAGCATAGTCATAGATCAGATCTGATAAAATTTGTAACGAAAACTCAAAGATTCATAATTTGAGTTCGAAAATCAAAAGTTCAGCACAAAAACCTTTCATTTTCACAAGAATTCAAATTTTTAAGATTTCAAGATTTGCATTTGCAAATTGCAAGACTCGTATCTAACATTTAAAGATTCTCATTTGAATTTTGTAGATTCACATCTAAAAGTTCAAAGCTTCTCATTCAAGTTCAAAGGCTCACATTTAACAAATTTAGGGTTCACATCCAAAAAGTTTAGCTTTTTGTTTGAATTTTGGAGATTCACATCCAAAAGTTCAAAACTTCTCATTCGAGTTCAAAGGTTTACATTTAGAGTTTCACATCTAAAGTCTCAAAAGTTCTCATTAGAGATTCAAATATGCTCATTTGAAAACGTCTTAAAGATTATCATTTAAGACTAAAAGATTTTCATTTAAAAATGTGACTCAAAGATTTTCATTTGAAAATGCCCTAAAGATTCTCATTTAAGACTCAAAGGTTTTTATTTGAAAATGCCTTAAAGATTCTCATTTAAGACTCAAAGATTCTCATTTGAAAATGCCTTTAAAGATTCTCATTTAAGACTCAAAGATTCTCATTTGAAAATGCCTTTAAAGATTTTCATTTAAGACTCAAAGATTCTCATTTGAAAATTCAAGACTTCATCAAAATATTCAAAATTTCTTTTCCAAATAACTTTCAAACTTTTATCAAAGTCAAAATTTTGTATGTATTGAACGTCATGATCAATGATGCAAAATTTTTTTTAATGATGCAAATGTAACAATCTAGATTCTCACAATGCCATATTTTCAACCATGATTTAAATGTTTACTATATAATACAAGTGCATAGCTAAACCAAAGTTTTAAATATTCTCCAAACAACAATGCAAATGCAATGCATGTAATGCAAATGTCCATGTCATGAAATTCATTGTGGTAATATGATTATCAAAACTCCTCTATTTTGAGCTTTTAACACTAGCCATTTCAAAATGAATTCTGTCTTCTATCACTTGGTCACCACTCATAGGTTTCTCAGCACTAGCCATTTCAAAACAAATTTTATCATGTATCACTTGGTCACCACTCATAGGTTTTTCAGCACTAACCATTTCAAAACAAATTTCACCCACTAATCTATATTATTTTCATCATTTGATCATAACTCATAGGTTATGTCAATTAATTCATCCTCATATTCATCATTTGATAATAGCATCTTTTCAAATT